ACATCAAGAATTACAGTCATTAGGATGGATTGCATTTCAGTGTAAAGAACACCAAGATCCTCGCCGCTGGACCGATAGCTCACATCATGATAGCAAGGATTTCATGTTGTTAGACCCGCAATCAATGCTCTGGAAGCAGCAGTCAAGAACCTGAATGACTTATTGCACAGGACAAATCTGGACCATACCTCTTTAAAGTGTTGAAGAGCAAACGTGTCACCGTGAGGACTACGGTTTGTCTGATTCGAGAGCCATGGTGTTTTCAATCATTTCATGTGCATGTGAAAGTCGGACGTTGAATAAGGAAGACTGCAAAATAATGAACACATTTGAATGATGGAGCTGGTGAAGAACACTGAAAGTACTATGGGCCACCAGAAGAACAAACATCTATGTTGGAAGACATACAGCCAAAATGCTCCTTGGAAGTATGGGCGGTGACACCACATTTCACGTATTTTGTCATGCTATCTGGAGAGATCAGTCCTTGGAGAAGGACATTGTGTTTGGTAAAGCAGGGGGGCGGGCAGTGAAAAAGAGGAAGGCCCTGGGCAAGACGGGTTGGCACAGTGGCTGCAACAATCAGCTCAAACAAAAGATTCTGGGGGTGGCACAGAATTGGGCAATGTGTTGTTCTGTTGTACACAAGGTCACTTGGGGTTGGAACCGACTCTAATGGCCCCTGACAATAACAGGGCCATGGAAAACTATGCCATCCTGTAAATGGGTGAGGTATTTACAAGGGTACGTAAAAAAAGACCACTACTGGTGATCCAGTTCATACATGCACAGGTTTATTCCAAACACAATGTGTTTAAACATGTCTTTGTGATCAATGCATGGCTGCACACAAGTCATACACTTGCCTAAAAAAGTCTAGTTAAAAGTGGTGTTGGAAGGGATCTTCTGAGCCAGTTCAATTCAAGACAGAGAGGTCAGTTCAGAAGGTGTTGGGATCCCAGAGGGTTCATTTGGATCGATTTTCTCAAAGGACACAAGACAATCACAAGGGCTTCTTGTGAAGTTTTTTTTTTTAGTTTATTTATTTATTAATAGTTTTATTGGGGCGCATATAACTCTTATCACAACCCATACATACATCAATTGTGTAAAGCATATTTGGACATTCATTACCCTCATCATTCTCAAAACATTTGCTTTCCACTTAAGCTCCTGGCATCAGGTCCTCTTTTTTCCCCTCCCTCCCCGCTCCCCCCTCCCTTATGAGCCCTTGATAATTTATAAATTATTATTTTGTCATATCTTGCCCTGTCCGATGTCTTCCTTCACCTACTTTTCTATTGTCTGTCCCCAGGAAAGAGGTCACATGTAGATTCTTGTAATTGGTTCCCTCTTTCCAACCCACTCTCCCTCTAGACTCCCAGTATCACCACTCACACCACTGGTCCTAAAGGGATCATCCGCCCTGGATTTCCTGTGTTTCCAGTTCCTATCTGTACCAGTGTACATCCTCTGGTATAGCCAGACTTGCAAGGTAGAATTCGGATCATGATAGTGGGGGGCAGATGAAGCATTTAAGAACTAGAGGAAAGTTGTATTTTTCATTGTTGCTACATCGCACCCTGTCTGGCTCGTCTCCTCCCTGAAACCCCTCTGCAAGGGGATCTCCAGTGGCCTACAAATGGACTTTGGGTCTCCACTCCACACTACCCCCCTCATTTGCTATCGTAAGATTTTTTGTTCTGATGATGCTTGATCCCTGATCCCTTCGACACCTTGTGATTGCACAGGCCAGTATGCTTCTTCCATGTGGGCTTGGTTGCTTCTGAGCTAGATGGCCGCTTGTTAACCTTCAAGCCTTTAAGACCCCAGACACTATATCTTTTGATAGCCGGGCACCATCAGCTTTCTTCACCACATTTGCTTATGCACCTATTTGGTGAAGAAGTTTTAAGAGAAACAAAAACTGCATTTGTTGAGAAGTGGGCCAGGAAATTTGCACAAAATTTTTTTTTCAATCTCAACCATGTACCTGCTCATTCTTGGAAGGCAGCAGAGGTTGTTCTCCAAGAATGCCATTGAGAAAGCTTACCTCATCTACCCAATAGCACCAATCACGTCCCAGACTCAGGATATTTAGGAAGAACACAATTTGAGTTACTTCGACTGCTGTTTTGATGTGGTGTGAATCAGTGTGCAGGATTCTGCAGGGAAGCATCGGAGATGGAAACCTGGCCTTCAGAAGCGTATAGACTCAGGTGGAAGGTATGTTGAGAATCAATAGATTCAGCTCTTGATGTTTTTCATGAAGACGGCTCTGATGGTTTCGTAGCAATACTTCTGGACTGACATTCATAATTCTAAGTGTGAAAATCTGCATTCCGTGGAGCTACCACCCTAATCATATTTCTCTGTGTGCCAGGCAGTGAATGAAATGGAGCGGTCCCTGCCGTAAGGGTGTTTACATTATGCTGGGGGTGGTGTGTGAGTGATAGACATGAAGCCATTCGACAACTAATTATGCACTATTTTTTCCTTGTTAGCAATGGTATTTGACTTACCTACTTGTTGGTCTTGTTTAAGGAGGGAGGCGTAATCTAGACGCACTAGGAAGAGGGATAAAACAAGCTGTAGGACAGGGTTAGTAAGGCGCCCCAGGTGTACTTGACGAAGGTGGGTGTCCTATGGAGGAGCTGTTCTACTCTCTGTGCAGGGAGTTGCCATGACAGACCTGCCCATGTATGGCTGAAGATAACGAATCTCCCTGAAAGAATAATCAAGAAGCTGGTTCAGCCTGGTTGTCTCTGGAGGGAGGAAGGGGGGAGAGGGGACTGGGGCAGGAGAGAGCCTCGTCTTCATTGTTGACCGTTTTAGAATAGCAGTCTGGGCATTTGTGTAAAGCAGTCTTTCCCAAACGTGGGCAGTACTGCTCCTGGAGGGGGTGCTGGAGCGATCCAAGGGGACTCCAAGAGCAGATGGTGGTGTTGTTATAGGCGCCGTGGGTCGGTTCCAACTCAGTGACTCTGGACGACAGAAGGAAACACCTCCTGGCACCATGGTTCTTCTGCTGGACACCGTTGTTGCAGCCCCTGTGTCAGCCCATCCCATCGAGGGGTTCCCTCCTTTGGGATTCCCCCTCGACTTTATCAAGCATGAGGTCCTTCTCCAGGTGCTAACACAGATGCCTACACCTTCTCTCGGATGACAGGTTATAGCACAAAAGTTTTTAATGACCAGGGACCCATTTCTTTTCTGATCAGGGGGTGGTAGGCCAAGTCAGTTTAGGAACCTCTGGTTTAAATCATGTGCATGCATTGCCTTCTTGAACTCACAGAAACATACAAACACCCCACCCCAAACCACAATGGAAAAGTAGTATTGTTTCTCACCAGTACATTGTCCCTGATGGCCTGCAGTAAAATCACCCTGTCCAGAATCACCTTCAGGGATGAATGTGGCCGACGGAATCACAATCTCAGAAGGTAGAGACTGCGACACCATCGTGCCTCCCAAAAGACTGATTCCCTGGAAAGAGTTGGAGGTCTGGGGGGCCAGGAGCTTAGAGATCAAGCCTCAGGTTCATGGGACGCTGGAGGTAAAGGTTGGAGTCTATAGTTCCTACCTGGGATCAAGTTCAGGGTGTGCTCTGGAAGCAGGCTGTTCAGATGGGTGCAAGGGTAAGCAAGGTCACTGGTATTTTCCCAGTGCTTAAAGCCTGTCAGTAAATACGTGATTTAGTTAGAAGTCATGAGTCATAACATGGACAGAAAGGCCTGCATGAACTTCCCCCATCTGCCACATTAGCTCAGCTAGAACGATTTTGCCCCTGGCTGTCTGTCTCAGGAGCCTTGGTGGTGTGGTGAAGCATTCCGTTAGTCCCAAAGTCCGTGGTGTGTATTCGCCAGCTACTCCCTGCGAGAAAGATGTGGCAGGCGACTTCTTTCAAGGTTTACAGCCTGGGCAACCCTGTCGACAATCCTGGTCTGCACTATTGGTTACTGAGTCAGAATAGACAGCAGTGGGTAACAGGAGTATCTGACCCCTTCAGTCCCTGAACTGTGCTGTCCCTCCTGCCTTTACCCACACTATTGTCATAATGCCCATCCCTAATGTGGTCTCCTAACCTCTCTCTCAGTTCTCTCCGTAAAGGCCACCTTCCCCAGGAAATCATCCCAAGCCTCAGCCTGGGCCAGCACTCCTTGCTAGTATTCCCATGGCCCTTGGTACTCCTCCTTTGGAGCAGTTGCCATCCTTCAGTGTCTCTTGGTCAGTGCTATGTCCTTGGCTATGCCCAGTGCATCCGAGGGGACTTCAAGAAACTCCTGGGACACTTTTCGTTAGTTTCATTCGTTTCTGGTGAACCTTTTGAAGCCCCCTCGTCGTCGTCATAGGGATGCAGTAGATGTTCATGAGATGAGTGGATGAGACTTCCGGGCCCAGCGAGAGCCAAGTTGGGCTCCAGGCGCAGGGGTGGGTGCTGGAAGTGGGAGAAGCCCTGGCTGAGAGGCTGAAGAGCACCCATCAGTGGTATGGTGCTCGGGCGCCACCCCTAGGCTGGGCTCACCACAGAACAGCTGTCTCGGGCTGCCCCAAGCCTTGGCTTCTGCGTTAGATGGAAACCCCAGATTCCACGGATGAGGCCTGCAGAGGTGGCCCCACTGAGGCCAGGAGTGGGCCACGGGAACAACCATAAGGAAGGGCAGACCTCGATCAGGAGTGTCCAGACTGCCCTGCCCAGTTCCCGAGAGCACCCCAAGAGCAGGGCAGCTGGTGGTGGTTTCCCTTATAAATGAATGTTGACTTTGTGGCTTTACCAAACTGTACCCTTAAGTCTGGGCTGACCCAGTCGTTTCTGTTTGCCTTGGAACACACAGGCTCAACACAGTCAGTCAGTAAACATGTGTTGGAAGCCTGTGTTCCCAGAGCTACGAAGAGTGAGTCTGGGTCCTCGCCTGGGTGGTGTTCGCAAGCCTAACAGACTCACGGACGAGCACACGCTACGTCTCTTCAACTCTGTGTAGAGAACACACGCACACTCATGCCTATTCAAAGGTTTATTTTCTTCTTTATGTTCAGAAACAAAGAAATGGCCCTGCCGCCCAAAGAGCCTCATCTGGAATGAACTGGGAGGCAAAACTGACCCATGGGGAGGTGGAAGTTCTTTCTAGCCCCTCTTCCAACTATCACTGGGCTTTTTGGCACCCCCCCCCCAAACAACAACAACAACAACCATTTTGAGATACAAACACAGCTAGCTGCCCATTGGGAGGTTGGGGAGGCACAGCTGAAGTCAAGAGATTAATGCCCACATTCAACAGGAGATGGGTCCAGTGCGTATCTTGGGGAGGGTTGGCAGTGGATGGTTGTGGGGGAAGGGCTGGTTGAGGAAGCTGCTAGATGGAGGGGGAAGGGAAGATGGGCTGGGACCACCCCTTCTTTCATACCAATAGGGATCTTGGTCCTACCCTACCTCTCCCAGCACCATGCACCCCCTTCTTCTAGCCCCCCTCCTAGCAGAATTGATCATCATAGTCTTCGTCCTTCATCCCCTTCAGCCGAAGCCGGGCAAAGTCCTCAAACACAATGTCGTCGTCGGTGGCATAGCTTGGTGATGGGAAAGAGGGGGGTGAGGCAAGGGCTTTGGACCCTGCTCTCAACGCCCTGCTTCCCTCCTGGGGACAAGTGTTAGCACAGCAGTGGGACTGGAGGTATTTGCAAAGCAGGGGCAGAGGAGGGGCAGTATTGGGCAGGCTGCCAGGGCCAAGGCACCTAGATTTGAGGCTTTAGCTATGCCTTCTCCCCAGAGACAAATACTAGAGGCATGAGGGTCGATCTGAAGGCTGTAGGAATCTAGAGAGTGAAAGGGAGGAAGGTGGGGGAGGGATGAGTTTCTTACTTGGTATCAAATTCAATGAGGTTGGTATCCACAGGGACATCTGTTTCGGTAACGGCTGGGTGGAGGAGGAGAGGTGGGTGGGTGGGTGGGCTGGGTGCTAGAAGTGCCAGCATTTTTCTACTGGACCTCTCACACCCTCCCTCTGCGGGTGTGGGGTAGTACACTTACCTGTCTGAGGCCTGGGGAGGGTGATGATGTGGTCATGGGGTTTGGGGTGCATCAGAACGAAAGGCAGCTCCACGGACACGTCCCTGGGAAGGCGGAGAGCTGGCATGAACAGGATGCTGCCCCCGTCCCAGCGAGAACCAGTGCTGCCCCACCTGGGCCCCCAGCGCACTCACCCGCCTCGAGATACCACCAGCTTCACCTTGACCCTGTAGGACACCAGGATCCCCAGCACCTCCTTGTTGGCCCCCTCCTTGACTCTGCAAGCAGGGTGGAGTTGGACCAGGAGCCCCTGGATGGCCCTGCGCACTTCCCCAGGGTGCTGCGCAGCCCTGCACTTGGCCCCCAGCCCCAGGGCTCTGGCTAAACTGCCTGATTCTCCAGGGAAAGGGGCCACCTCATCCCCCAGAGCCCTCTGTGGCCTCTTGGCTTTCGCTCTCTGCGTCAGAGCTGAAGTCCCCTGGCCTCGGCTTGCCTCAGTCTTGTTTGTCACTTGCCCACCCTCTGCCCTCACCACCGCCCCTTGTTCGTGTTCCTCGGGGGCCCCCAGGCCTGCAGTACACTCCTGCAAACTACTGCAGATAGAGGTCCAGCCTTGGCTGTGGCGCTGTGGATCCCGGGGCAACCCTGCCTCAGGCTCATGGGCAAGGAGGCACACAGCGGTTCTGCTACTGGCCGCCTCACAGCGCTGCCCACCCCCGGCCCCACTCCCTCCTCTCTGCCCCAGCCACACTGCCGACTTGTGTTGGGTCTTCCTCCAAACCCCCCCCCCAGCCGCTGTGCTTACGCCACTACCTTGCCCCTCTCCCACCTCTGTCCTTAACCCTGGCCACCGATCCGGCTGTACCCTTCCTCAGGATCAGACTTGCGTCCTCCCCGCCAATGAAAGCTCAGATTTGTCTCTTCAGGTCACTGACCCGCCCCTGGCCCCTAGGGAACTGCCCGACGCCTGTGCTGGATGGACGGCTGTCCCTCGGGCTGGGGAGGGGGGGGGGGCTTCCCACCGCGTCCCCTCACATGGTGCTGGAAGCCAGGTTGGTGTCCTCGTGCTTGAGCTTCCCGTCCAGGGCGAGGCCGCGCTTCTCACGGTTGTCGCTGAGCAGCGGGGTGATGGTATACACCTTGCAGAACGTAGAACTGGGCGACACCTGGTCGCTGCGGGCGGGGGCGAGAGAACAGGGCTCCTGGAGGGCCCGGCCGGGCGAGGGCAGCCCACCACCACCAAGCAACCTCTCCCGCGTTCCTAGCCCCTTCCTTTGGGCACACACCGGCAGGGCGTGGCTTTGGGCTCACCTGGCTAACCAATTGGGGAGAAACGCCCCTTTCCTAGAGGGCACCCCCGCCCCCCCAACGGCGCCTACTCTTCTCCACCGAGGCGGAGATCCAGGCGCGGTCCGGTACTCACTCTTGTTCAACTTGAGCCACGGGGCACTTGTACTGCGCGGTGCTGAAGAGGCAGATGTCGGCATACTGTCTCACTGCGGGGCGGGATCGCGGCAGCGCTGGATGGAGCGCACCCCCAGCCCAGCCCAGCCCGCAAAATGCACATCCATGCCGGGGGTCCCCGACTTCATTCTGGAACCATCTT